ATAAGACTGCCATTGGACAAGGAGTGTTTTGTTGGGCACAAGAATTCTATTTTCCCTGGCTTCAGTTGTCAAGTGCCCCGGGAACCCAGAATTTATGGTGGCAGCACAATGGGCCTTTCAGGGCCCAGCGAAAGAGCTGTGAGATCCTGCTCCCTGGCTTTTCAGGACTTCTAATCTTTTTATCGGGCCAGGACAATGCCGGATTCAGCTGCTGCCCGAGCCTCCTGACTGTCCATTGGCCATCAGGTATAGTGCAGTAATTACCATGGTGACAATGGACTCTCTTCTACGCCTGTCCATCGGCCCTTTGGAAAATGGCAAAGGTTGTCACTTTGTATTAGGTGCCTCTAAAGGCTTACTTAGGAAAACTACTAAAGGCATGTAAAGATAATCGCGTTAAGAGTTTCATTTAAAAGGCTGCTGTGTCAAATCCATTTGGAGTCCAGGAGCTCTTATGGATGTTTTCTTGTAATTACAGTTAGACTTTGGGGATCATGCCCTGTTCCATCAGTGAGAAGCCAGCCTGTGAGACTTTACAGGGAACATGAGCCATGGGCTGCCAAAAGAAAGCCCTTAACCACACAGTGAGAGCAGAAGTCTAAGCCAAGCCAGTAAACTTTAAGGCATCTCTAAACTTCCTTAAGGCAGTTTCCTCATATGAAGAAAAATGGCAAAGAAGATGCTTGTAGATAAATATTAACCACACTCTCTCTGATTGGATATTAACACATGCAAATGCATTGTATAAAGGCCTGCACGTCTATCATTGGGCTTTTTGAAAGGCAAACATAGAATAAAAAATAAAATAATCATAGAAGCACAATATGTATGTTTTTATAATCACAGCTCATGGTTACTGAGATTTTGAATTTGTTTTCATTATTTTCATAACCCTTGAAAAGTGTTATTATCCACACTTTCTATAGAGAAAAGGGACTCAGAAAGAGTTTGCTGCTCCAAAGTCAATCTGGTTTTGAGGAGGCAAAGCCTAGGTTTCAAGAACTATTTTCTCCCACGGCTTCTCGCTTTTAAAAATCCATAATTGACAGACTTCTCCTCTAAAATACGCTTCACCATATCGTTTTGGGACTTTGGCAATAACAGGAAAGAAAAACACCCAGTGGTGATTATTAACTGAGCTTAGTCATCACTTTGACAATGTTGGGAACACAGAACACCCCAAAAGCCATTAAGTTCCCATCTGTATGCGTCCGGAGTATGCAGTACGCAGATAGCCGAGCCCTTTCTGCTGTTTCAGAGCAAGAAAACAATGGAGCAATATCAGCAAGGAGTTTCTAACTGCTGCTTCTAGACCAAGAGAAAAGCCCAATACTTGTTTCATAAACCTGAATTTTCACTTGCTTGTGGGCAAGATGAGGGAAAGCGCATATTCTAACCACAAAGACGTGTTCAGAAAAAGGTCAAAAGTGGGCCTGCACGGCGCTTTCAGACCCAGCATCATCACCAAAAACATGAAGCACAACTCGAGTACTTATATTTACCCCCCCCACCCCAAGATACATGGTATTGCTCATGGTTCCCCCTAATCCACAGCTCTTCCTTTAAGAACTTTTAAAACAAATTCTACTTACTATTTTTATCTTATGTGTGTGAGTGTTGTGCCTGCATGTAGGTAAGTGTACCTGTGTCATGCAGGGCCCATGGAGATCAGAAGAGGATGTTGGATTCCCCTAAAACTGGAGTTGCAAATGGTTGTTAGCGGCCATGTGGGTGCTGGGAATCGAACCCAGGTCCTCTGAAGACCAGCCAGTGCTCTTAATTGCATAGCCATCTCTCCAGCCCCCCTTTCACAGTGAACAAAATTCTGAATCCATAAATAATTTTCCATTTATTATTTTTTCTTGGAAAAAAACCTTTTCTTCCAAGGTTTCTCTGTGATCTCTCTGTGAAAGGTGTTTCATGGGAAACTGTTTGCAGGGTGGTGAATAAGTAAAATTAAAAAAAGGTCTGATGTAGTTTTTAAAAATACAGATTCAAGGAGTAAGATTTATCAGATATACCAGCCACGGAGGTTCGTTGTAATATGATTAGCCTGGAAAATGAAAACAGAAAGAGCAAGAGCTTTAAAGTCTGTCTGGGAGATTCTGTCCCCACCTTCAGTGTGCTGGGCTGCATGTCCTCTGTGTGAGTCTTACCCCAAAGAGCTGGGTGGTCGCTGAAGAGAACACAATGCAGAGGTTTTTGCAAAGTGTCTTTCATACATGTTTATAATAGTCTAGTCATATATTACTAATTGAATCCAATTTGGAAATGTATTTCATTATAACAATTCATAGTTATGCATTATAGTGCTGTGACTTGTGTGAATACATTTAAATGTTACATACTTGGGGCCTCACATATCATACAGTTGAATAATTAAAATCATATAAAGCTTTATAAAGTTGGAAAGTTGTTCAAGTTGGCTTGTTCACTCAGCTATGTACCTGGGAAAACTAGAGATAGTGAATCTCTGTCTGGGCCTGTATCCGTATGTCTGTCTGCATTTGTGTCTTTCTGTCTCTGTCCCTCACTGACTCTCTGTCTCTGTCTGTGTATCTGTCTCTCGCTCTGTCCTTCTCTGTCTCTGTTCCTCTCTGTCTCTGTCTCTATCTGTCTCTCTCTGTCTCTGTCTCTCTGTCTTTGTCTCCCTGTCTCTTTCTCTGTCTCTGCCTCTCTCTCTCTCTCTCTCTCTCTGTGTGTGTGTATGTGTGAGATGTGATAGCTTACTTCTCCAAAAACAAGCCTTCAAGAGCAGGACAGGCTTCAGGATTTCTCTAGTAACTTAGGCTACAATGGCAAAATGCCCCAGGATGAATAGTTTAAGTAATGCATGTTTTCCTCATAGTTCTGGTGACTGAGAAGTTCAAGATGAGGAAGCTAGCAGGTTTGGTTTTAGTGTGTTCTCCTGCCTGACACATGATGTCATCCCCCCCCCTTCAGTGTTTCCTCATATAGCAAAGATGCAGACAAAGAGACAGAGAGGGAGTGAAAGACAAGACAGAGAGGGGTGGGGCAGTAGGAAAGAGAGAGAAAAGATGCTCTGCTTTCTTTTTCATATGGAAGTTGCATCATGGTACCCACCTTCTACCTGTCTTTCAAGGTCTCCAGCTTCGAAATACTATCACACTGGAGGATAAGGCTTCAAAAACAATTTTAAGAGTTGCAAACATCCAATCTACAGTTTGCCCCTGCCCATCAATTCATACTATTTTTACATGTAAAACATAATCATTTCATTTGAACAGTTACTCAAATGTGACTTGTTTTAACATTAAATTTAAAGTTAAAAGTCTTATCTAAATATCCATATCAATAAAGATGAAAATAAAAAATACAGTTTGGGCCGGGCATGGTGGCGCACACCTATAATCCCAGCACTCGGGAGGCAGAGGCAGGCGGATCTTTGTGAGTTCAAGACCAGCCTGGTCTACATAGCGAGTTCCAGGACAGCTGGGGCTACAGAGAGACCATGTCTCAAGAAGAAAAAAATAAAATAAAATAAAATAAAATAAAATAAAAAAATACTGTTCGTCCTGAAGCCAGGTCCCCCTGTAACTGTAAGCTTGTGGAACCAGATAAAGTATGTGCTTCCAAGATATAATGGTGGGAGGTACAAGAGTAACAGACATTTCCATTTCAAGAAAGAAAGAAACTGGAAGGAGGAAGTTTAAATATATCAAGGCAAATCCATTAGATATGGAAGCTAAACACAGTTGGTTTTACTTGGAGACTCTGCTTTTTAGACCTACTTCAGTCATTTGTGCTGTACCTCTTTGGTTCCTTAGGGATGACTGAGATTCATGTGGATTAACTCCAGGGTGTGAGGATCTAAGTGCATGCTATGTTGGCTCACTGGCTGCGATGTGTCGTGTGGTTACATCATCAGCTGTGTGTTGTATGGATGGCTCCATGGGTGTTTGGGGATAAGTCCAGGGCTGCTTTGTCCTTAGTATCCTAGGAACCACAAAAACAATTGCAGTCTTGTCATTGCAACTGCCTTCCCAAGCACAGTACTGTACTAGGAGCACATTTTAGAAAATTTGAGATTCACCCATGTCCTTTAATAAAAGGCTTTTTCTTAGCTTTATTTATTTTGTTCAAAGGTGTCATATTGAGAAGTTATTCTATGGTCATAAGGAAAAGTAGATTTTGAAATTAAAAAGTACAATAAATAAAATCAATGAAAGGTTCTGATCAAGTCCCTCATGCAGGCTTAGTGGCCCATAGGAGGTGGTCCTTCTAGAGATGAAGGGCATCTTAGGGATGCTTTGTCAGTCGGAACCTCCTTTGGTTCAGTGCTTCGGTTTTTAAAGATGACAGCTGTTTAGACACTCCATATACATCTCTTCATTCATTCAACAAATATCCGAACAGCTGCCGTGCACTGGGAAACATGTTAGACACTTCAGAAGATGAGAAATTGAATCAGACCAGAATCCAGGCAGAACACAGCTCTCCCCACAGAAAATCCAGATTGTGTAGCAGTGAAGGGGAAAGGCAAACCTGGTGAAGATTTGTGGCACTGTTACGTCAGACAGCGCCTCCGATCACACCACCACCGTTCTCTTTGTCCTTGAGCTGATAATTCACAGAAGACTTGTCAGCTCTAGAGCTCTACTTCCTTCCTCAAGAGGAAATGTCAGACTTTGAATGCAGAGTTTATGTTCACTAGAAATTGACTCTCAACTCTACTGCCACAGGTTTATTGTTCTTTCTAGAGTAACTGGATGTGAAGTTCACAGCAGAAGTACTTAGCTGTTCCCCTAAGTTCACTTTTGTTATCAAAGTACTAAAGGCATAATGGACATGTTCACACTGTCCTGGTATTTTTAAGTGCATAAGTTTTTCATGCAGTCGTAATAGCTTGTTTATATTTTTCTTTGCATACAAAGGTTATTGTCTTCTAAGAGAAAGGTCTGTCTTATGCAAGGCATATCACTTAGATTCACACTCACCTAAGTCACTAATGAGCCTTTCATTTTCTTTTTCTGTTGCAGAAGTGGTGGTTTTGGCTGTGTAGCTCTGTGGAGACAGTCATCCTTGTCATTGCTTGACTACACAATCAGATGGGTGGAGCTTGTTATAGAAACTGGCAGCAAGTATCCAATGGGTGAAGAAGGTAAGATGGAGGAGCATTGCTGAGTGATTCACGGGTTACCATGCTTGCACACACAGGAGTTATACCCACAGTGTATACTCCTCAGGTCTGCCTTGATCTGGGCCTTCCATAAATCCAAAGCAAAATTTCAGAGGGAGGGAAATGTCTACCTTCTTGGCTTTGAAAAAAGTGACCATTCAATGTTGTTTTCACTGGGTTCTGCTTAGTATGTACTATTGGGCCCACTGTGGGGATGGCAATCATTTTGAATAAAACAGATTTGGAAGAAAAGGCAGAGACTAAAAATGATTATTCTTTGATAAGGACATGGCTGGGCAGACTGATGGAGGTGACTTCTAATGATAATTTTTCTCTCCTTTTCTTTCTTTAGAAAGGGATTCTTAAAATAAGAGCAAGATAACTTATATCCCACAGGGAAAACAAATTGCTAGGAAACTAGACCTTTTAGATCTCACAGGCTGGAGAGTCTTGTCATAAACCAGGGAGCCTGATTTCAGCTCTAGGCCCAGCTCTGCTAGTCACTGACTGGGTGCCCTGGGGTTAGTGAATACTTGATTGGACCCAGAGTCTCTGACAATTCTTAAGTTTTAGAATTCTCCAGATCCATGACTGATACCATTTTCACAGAACATCTAAATATCAAGCTAGAAATTTTGCCATCAGTTCTACTGGCATGACTTCTCACTCTTGATGATTCTGTACCTATCTTTCCAAGTGTCTATGTCCCACATGTACACGTATGTCCCACAAATGCAAGTCACACTCCCCAGCACCAAACATTCAGTGGTATCCAGTGCCCCACATTTTAGTGGAGGCCAAACTGCTTACCTAGAACAGAAACCGAGGGACCCCTCCTGTCTGTCTCTCAGTTCCTCACATTACCTCAATCAAATTCTGTAGATCTAGTCTCTGATTCTAATTCGGATTCTAATTCCTATAGATTCTAGTCCCAATCATTTCTGAAATATGTTTGGTTCATCTAGTGCTATCTAATGCGAGTCAAATCCTTTCTCTAATATTACTGAATTGCCTCCTAGCAGAATATTTTGGCCTCTGTGGTTATTTTTCCTTTATCAGCTCTAACGTGTTCATAGTCCACACACATCCTGGGCAATATCTCTAAGTTCATATTTTATGTTACTCTTCTGGGTCATCCCTTTCAATGATAGAGATATGAATTCCTTAATGCATTTCCAGGCCCCTTTAATGATACTTCTGCTGTTGTTTTACTGACCAGACTCACTTCTCAGCTACATGTCTGCACACTCATCCTTGGTTAATGTCCCCTCTAGGACCTGTCCATTAGGCCATGACCTCACTTCCCTCAAAGCATGTAATCTTATTTTCTTCATTTCCTAGCTTAGACCTCATTATATATATAAAAAAAAAAAGATGGTTTTCCTTTGTTTGGTTTTGTGTATGATTTCCCAGGGCCAAGCTATGGTTGGTTCGAGATAGCTCTTCAGCAGCCACTGAGTGCACTGATTTTCACATCAGGTCATAATTGTCTATTTGTTATCTACTTATCACTGTGACCTGACAGAAACAAGTTACAGAAGGGAAGACTTATTTTGGATCATTGTTCCAGGGAATTGAATTCATTGTGAGGAAGACCTATTGGAGCAGGTCCCTCATAGCACAGATATGTGACAGAGTTACTCACCTGTGGCCAAACCAGGAAGCAGACAGCGCTGATGGGATCCACAGGCAGACATAGCCTTCAAGGCCTGCCCCAGCAACCCACTTCCAGCAGCTGGGCCATAGATTTTAAAAGATCTGTCACCACCCAACATAGCATCATCTGCTGGGCATAAAAGTGTTTGTTCAAACACATGAGCCCATGGAGGACATTTGCATTCAACCCATAGGACTCTGTTTAGTTATCTGCCTTGCTTGCTAGACCTCCAGGTTCTTTGGGGCAGAATGCATTTGGGGGCCATCTCACTTCTAGCTGCAAGCACTTTGTCTGCCCCGAAGTATACATACACATAGTAAATGCTTCTTATTAGCAGATAGAGACCTTCAGGGTATTTTTAAAGATTTTGTTATTTATTTAGATTTATTTATTTATTTAATGCATATGAGTGCATTGTCTGCATGTATGTAAGTGTACCCATGCTATGCAATTCCCACGGAAGACATAAGAGGACATCGGATCCCTTGGAACTGGAGTGACTGACAGTTGTTAATGACAGGATATGAACTTGAGTCCTCTGCAAGAGCAGTCAGTGCTCTTAACTTCTGAGCCATCTCTCCAGCCCCACCTTCAGCATATTTTTAAAAGAAGATGAAGGAAGGGGCCTAAGGTGGCCACAGAGCGAGCAAGCATGTTATTAGCAAACAAGCCTTGGATGCTTGTACTGTGCCAGACACATCTTATCTTCAAAGTTATCACCTCCCTTAACCCTTGTAAAAACCTTATGCTGTAGCTAACATTATTATTGAAATTTTTTAAATGAGAAAACTCAACCATAGAGAAGTTAAGTAAGTTGCCTGTGGCAATATGCCGTATGTTTTATTTTCTTAGTTTATATCAGTAAAGAAGCTGACTTTGCCCGGAGCTGCCTTTTTCCAGTCTCATCTTCTGCCCTTCCCCCTGAATGAACCTGTTGAATTATGAGCAAAAGCATTTCCTCCACATAAGCCTTCTTCTACAACCCTCAGATGCTATTGTTAAAAAGACGGTGACCTGCTCCTGTGACTGGAGTCCATAAATCTTTGGAGATTCCCCAGATATTTGATTCTCTTGGATCTTTATGAGAGTCTGTTTGGAGAAAAAATTTCCATTTGAGAAGTCCTCAATGTTCTCTCCTGTGCTCTGGTTAATAGTTGCTAGGGAAAACAAAAACAAAAGTCAAACTACAACGCATTGGTAAGAGAAGCAAAAACTAAGTGTCCTGGCTAATGGTCCAGCCAAGTATGGAAATGGGAGGACTGGGACCAGCTTTCTCCTGTTTGCATACTGTGCTCGCTCATTTGCTCCGTGGGTGACGCACATCTCTCCTGTGAATATGTCTGTGAATGATGATCATCTCATTTCTGCCAGGCTAGATGGGCCTCTTCAATTCATCAGCCACGATGTGCTAGGGACATTTCCTATTTTTCTAAAGAATAAGGACAATTAGAATGAGGTGTCAATGAAACAGTCAAAATTAAATAGGCAGCACTTGAATTTAATTTCACTTCTAGGAAACCTGTTAGAATCTTTTTGCCACCTAGAGATTAAGAATAGCCTTTTCTTTAAGAACCTTGCATACTTTGATTCCAAGGAGACGAAATAAAATATTCTTAAGCTTTCAGAAAGATCATTGTGACAAGCGAGCTGCCGCTCACGGTCTCCGTTCTAAAAAAATGACACAAACGGAACAATCCTTTGACCTTTTAGAATAAGATTCTGATTCTAAGGAAAAGACCTTTATGTCTAGAGGGAGGAAATAGCTCATTCATGACCATGTTGTCAGGTCTGAGAACAACATAAGACAAATCAAGACCTTTCACTCAAGATTAGATTCTTGATTCCCAATACTTAAGGATTTTAGAGTTTTTGGTTGAGTACCTATGGCATGCCACAAGCACATCTAGAGATGGGAAAACACTTTCCCTCTTCTTAAGATGCTTATAGTCAAGTAGCTCTGCACACAACACTCAAATCTGAGTGGAAAGGGACATGGTAGAGATGGGGCTGGGCTCACAGGAACAGCTCTTGGGCTAACTCCCTATAAAACACACCTGATCTTTCCCTTCTCTTCCTAGCACACCAGTCTATAACTTAGGTGCTTCTCAGAACAGCAGGGGAATTACCCCAGTCACTGCAGGGCAGATGTCAGCCCTGCGAGCTTGCTGGGTTTTTAATAGGGCACTGGGGCCTGGGAATGAATATCTCTGAGAAGTGAAAGGGATGTGCCCTTTGCAGAAGAGTGTACATGCACTGACACCCTGTGGAGTAGCAATCAGGAGGGGCTTCCGGTCATAGGTCACCCAATTATCTTTCATTTGCTTAGAAGTCAATCCCAGAAAGCAGCTTGGAGGGCAGGTCACCTGTGCTGGCAACTCCACCAGGCTGTGAATTGTACCTGACAGCTTGAAATATTGGCAGTCTGCTGCCTAGCCCTCTGTGCCTGCTGGGACTGCCTGTGAATACACATTTCCTATTTCAGGATGTAGGCCACCGTGGAGAAGGAGGCCAAGTATCTGTCTGTAGCCAATGGCATCAGAATCAAAAACAGACACTCGATTCACTTGTTGACCATGTATGCAGCTCTTTGTTATGTACAGTGTGGTGGTGTGGCTACTAACACATTCAATGAACCATTACACATGCTAAGCAAAGTGAACACCCGACCCCTCTACCCCTCGTTGAAATCACCTGTAAGGGATAAGCATCCACTACAAAGGTTTTTTAGTCTTGCTTTATTTTACTGTCAACACATACACAAAAAATCATTCTCAATAACAAGGACAGCTAAGATTTATTGAGCATGGCTATGCAGCAGGCATGATCTTACATGCTTTGCAGTGATCTTGTTTAATAGCACAAGACCTTTGACTAGTGTGTTAGCCATCATGACTCTTTGGTGGATGAGGTTCAGAGCAGTAAAAGAACTTGTTGAGGGTCTCAAGATTAACAATAGAGAGGACAAGACCTCTGCTCCTGCACGCAGCCGTGCAGTATAGCCTACTGAACAATTCACTCACCTCAACACTTGCATCTTGGCTTTAGGGCTCAGTCATGTTTTGTGGGAGAAAGTTAAAGGATGGTACTCCTTTCAATTAGTCTGGCATGGTCATGGTTCAAATCTCCTCTTGAGATAGAAAGGTTATATACTACTTTAGATTTAAAGAAAGATGCTGAGGATACGATCCTCATCAACCATCTTTTACAGAACAGACCTTTTATGTCTTGAAATAGATACTGGGGATGCAGGAAAAAGCAAAGGTTCACATATCAATATAACAATGAAACTAAAATTGTGTCTTTAACAGTCCATCCCTAAATTCTAGTGATAGAGCCAGGCTAGCAGATATACAACCATGACACGGTCACTTCTACACATCTACACACACACAGAAAGGCTGATTCTGTTAGAAACAATCAGATGAAGCCTCAGTGAGTGTCTTAGTTTGTTTCTTCATTGCTGTGACAAAACACTCTGACCAATACCAACTTGGGGAGGAAAGGGTTTATTCAGCTTACATTTCCCAGGTTGCAGTTCATCAGGGAGCCCAAGGTAGGAACTCAGGGCAGGAACCTGGAGGCAGGAGCTGGAGCACAGCCCATGGGGGGATGCTGCTTACTGGCTTGCTCCCCTGGCCCCTGCTCAGCCTGCTTTCTTATTCAACACAGGCCCACTTGCCCAGGGGTGGCACCACCCACAATGCGCTGGGCCCTCCCACATCACTCATCAAGAAGATGCCCCTCAGACATGGCCACAGGCCAGTCCAATAGAGGCAATTCTCCGACTGAGGCTCCTTCAACCCAGGTGTGTCAAGTTGACACTAAAGCTATCCAGCACAGTGAGGATATTATTATTGGGTTTAGACTTGAACATGGATAGGAATTGACCAGGAGGAAATAAGGAAGGGTTTGCCAAGTAAAGGGACTAGTACAGAAAATTTCAACTATCTTTTATCATGACTAGGTAAAGTGTCCCGTAGAATGCTTATTTATCAGCTAGATGTTGTAGTACATGTTTTTTTTTTGTCTTTTTGAAGCAGGGTCTCCCTGTAGCCCCAGCTGTCCTGGAACTCACTATGTAGACCGGGGTGGGCTTGAACTCACAGAGATTCACCTGCCTCTGCCTCCCAAGTGCTGGGACTAAAGGCGTACGCCACCATGTCCGGCTTGGTACATGTTTTTAATCTTAGCACCCAGGAGACAGAGGTAAGTCCATCTCTGTGAGATTGAGGCCAGCTTGTTCTACATACAAATTTCTAGCCCATTTGGTACTACAAGCAAATCCTGTCTCAAAAACCAACAGAACTCCCAGAAGTTTATTATTTTTAAATAGATAATATGGTTGAATAAAGAGAATTTAAAATTAAAATGGTCTACCAAAAAATCTGTTCCACTTCCTTGTCCCTAAATTTTCCTCCCTGGAGACATTCACTATGTTTGGTTTTCTACGTGACTTCCCATAAAATTTCTAGGCAGTTATAAAGACATATATTCGAATAGATACTTCTGTATTTGTTTATATTCATAGAGCTCTACAGCTAGAAACATTGTTCCACATCACAGTTCAAAAGAAAATAGGTTTTCTCTTTGTTTTACTTAAACTGGTTTAAGTTAAAACCTTTCTGTTTGCCTTCAAAACATCCAAAAGAGAATCTCAAAAATAATACAGTGAATCCTTATTAATCCTTCATTTAGAGTCACTGGCTTTAAAAAAATTCACTTGGTTGTGTTCTAGGCAATTATTTTATGAATCGCAAGCCCTAAACAAGTACACCTTCTATGTCACTTAACCAGAGACCAGAGAAAGTTTCTTGTTTCTCCCTTTTACATAGGAAAATAACCTAGATGCACTGGCCACTGATAATATGTTCCTTTCAGTGTCAGTTTCCTGTGAAGCCAGATGCAGCTGATCCACCCCGAGAACAGAGATGGAGAGAGGAGCCCAGTTTGGGTGCCTTGACCTCTGGGAAAGGACTGACCCTGTCTCAGTTGCTCAGCAGTAACAGGTGTTTTGGGTAGAACACTCCCTCTGCTTGTCTTGTGTATCTAGTGGTCCAGTGCAGCAACAGACAGTTCAGCTGAAACCCAATCTCTTAATTTCCGACAACCAGCTATTTAGATGGCATTATCTTTTCTGCTCTGCTTTTCAGAGTCAGCTCCATATCTCAAAGACTGGTGTACTATTCCTTACTTTGAAAGATCAAAGAGTCTCAGTGTGACTCAAGTTATCTGTGCACTTCCTCTGTGTATTGCATGGCAGAGGATCCTGTGTATTCAATGTGAGGGGGGCTTTGAACACTGGGACAGGCAGGAAACAACCTCAAAAGCCAATGTGATGGGATATTGTGGATTCATTCATCCTTTCTATCATCAAATAATTTCTGAAAGCTTCAAGGTACTTTTCTATGCTTTTTGCCGAGAGATGTACATACTTTTTGCAGGCCGAGTCCTCAGGATCTATGAAGTGAGAGATAATTAGAAATATCTCAGCTGAAGACAGCAATTGAATCTGAGCACTGTGGGATGGAATTTCAAAGGAATGGCTTTCTAGGCTTCCATTAACTATGACTGACTACTATTAACTACCATTCATTAACTACTATTGATTCATTTATACATTAGGCATGGATTCGTTGTTTAGTCTGAGCTAAATTCACATAAGCAACCACCAGAAAGGCTTTGATAGGTCCTGTTAACATGGAACTCATAAACCTGTGGGGGTATCCTTTGACCTCCTTCGGAGTCCAGCAGTTTTCTTAAGTTGGGCCCCATGGGAAGTTTCAGCTCTCCTAAGACTGTTTCAGGAACAAATTGGGCCTTTGCTCATCTGTTTTCCCAGGCTCCACATGCTTCTTAAGCCACATGGTTACTTTTTCCTCTACAAGCCACCAACCAGATTACCCTACGTCCTTTGGAGAGTTCAAGCCATAAGAGAGGAAAGCACGGAGAGAGAAAAGGTAACAAGCCAGGCACTAACATCTGGCCCTGATTCCTGTGTCTGCAGAGGATAGAGAAGGTTACAACCAGACCCCTGGTGGAGGCCTCCATTTATATGCTGTAGAGAAATGTTGTAGGTGCCAGTGAGTTCATCGTTTTAAGAGGACCTGAATTTTCAGTATCCGAGCACCATGCCAAATGCTGTTAAGTTGCCATAGCAACAGTTTGCACACTTTTTTATTTCAAAGAAAAAGCATTTAAAAATATTGGTCACATACATGCAAGGGCTAGAGAGAAGATACCTTCTCTAAAGGAATGTCCAGCAGATTTCCTGAGCATCATACATCTACCCATTACAGATAGTATGTTGGATCTCTTAACGTCTCTTATCACATTTCATAATTTATACTTAATAAATGGACCCAGGAACTAGAAACGTAGCTCAGTGGTAGAGTGTTTGCACAATGGAGCTCAGTGGTAGAGTGTTGCACTCTAGCATGCACAAGGCCCTGAGTTCCATCTGTGCTACTGCAAAAAGAAAAAGAAAAAAAAAAGACCCAAGGAACTCAAGATCATTCAGGAAGATCGTTCCTCATTGGTCCCAATCCATGTACATTCTCCATGAGCAAGGAAAGAAAAAGTGTAAAGCCTCCTGTGGCTTCACTCTGTGGGACTTTGAGTGGGACCACTTGCCCTGTATAAGTCCACAGGGCATTGCAGGGTTTTCAGGTTACACTTCATTCAGGGTTGTGCTGTTTCCAGTTCCTGGACCAGCGCACAATGGAGGACTGACAAGTGAAGGTCTGTCTGGCCATCTCTTCTCTAATGGGGATGATTTTGAAGGGCCATCCATGTCTAGCCCAGAGGACCATGCAGGGGTGGCCTGAGTTCTGGTGGGACTACATGACACCTCACCTTCCTTTTAAGAATCCTTCTGTTCCTCTTGCTTTTCCTTCCTCGGGTGTTCCCAAGGGCACTTCCTAAAGAGCATCCCAATGTTAAACTCCATCTCAGAGTTGGCATCTAAGAAATTCTAACCTGTGACAAATTCTATTGAGTGTTACAAAAACTTTTTGTGTCATTGCATGAATCCATTGGATTCGCTTGCTCCTTCATCATTTTCATTGAATAAATAGTCACCAGACACTTAGCACTGTGCTAAGAACCAAGATACAGTTGTGAGCAGGACCTCCAGTCACATGGAATTTCAATGATTCCTACTCAGATTTTAACCTTGCTTCTGTACTTTATGAATTCCCCACTCATCCTTGCTGCCTAGTTGCTTTGAAGGAAGGTGAGGAAGCCTCCCACTGCCTGGCCCCCACTCATTGCCTTGAATATATGTTGCTTCTATGACATCAGTAACAAGGCTGGAATGGACTTTCTCTAGACTCCTAGTAAGGATCCAAAATGGAGTCTGGTTGGGAGGGATGGAGACTGGAACAGGAGATCAGAGCTTGGAATGGCTTTCCAGAATGTGTTTGGGGAGGTGGGACTGAAGTCTGTGCCAGGATCCAAAGTTGAATTGAAAAGATAAGATAGAGGAGAGGCAGGTTTCCATTTCATTTCCAGGAGTGTGGGGTAAGGAGTGGGAAGTAAGTGGAGTGGAGACTTCCTTGCTTGTTATGGTCTCTGTGCAAAACCACCTAATGACATCACATTTGAATCAGACTCAAGCCAGACCCTGACTGAACTGCCTTTTCCTGAGTACTCCTTGCCCCTTCCCTTGCTTATCCCCTTAGCTTTAGAGACCTTTGCTGCTACACAGCCGATCTAGCTCCGTCTTGGCTTGGGGAACCTGCTATTCTCGTGTTCTGAGTCTTGGAATTCTCCTTGCATTCATTATGCCTTCTAATTATTTCAGGGTCTGATTAATTGCTCCTGCTTGAGAAGTTTTCTCTGACCTCATAGCTCGAAAGCCTCACTCTGTACCCACTTTCCTTTCCTTCCGCATTTCATCTCTCTGTGTAATCCTTCAAGGCAGTTATAGTAAGTGCTGAAGTGCATGTTGATTTCCATTCATGGTTGACTTTCATATTGTCTAAGTCAGCTATCGGACTGGAAATCCTAGAGGTTCCAGAGGCATGGCTATCTCTGTCCTTCCTTGTGTCCTGGGGGCCAAGTGCAATGTCACCCATATCAATTAGATATATAAATACTTCTCGTATGAATGACAGATCAAATGCACCATTTTTGAATGATTCCCTTATGAGTTCACAGGAGTCAGATTGCTGGGTTGGTTCACTTAGAAAGATGCCTGGAGCCTGAGCTCTTTCAGACTGCTGTGGTGAGCAGCATCTTCGGACATCTCTGTCCCTGGTTCCTTTTGGAGCACCACTTAAAAGTGAGTGGCATCCATTCCTTGAACATTCCACTCTCAGGAAGCCAACAGTTGCATAATCGTTTCCCTGTGTGAGCATCTGTGCATTAACACTGGCCTTTTGGGCCTGCTATAGCTTGCCTGACCCATCTCCCTGCCAGAAAGATTGCATCTGTAATACTGTGGAAAATTAGGGCTGACATGTAGTATGGTACACAAAGTGGTTTCACTCAAGCAAACAGAGAATAATAGGCATGCACTTAAATGCTTGAGTAGGTATCAATCGGAAGAACGTTCCTATAATCCATGTTTATAAAGCCTGTTAGCATGAATTTTTGAAATAGCACTTATTCCACTTTATTCTTGACAAATAGTGTTTGTAGCCATTGAGATACTTTATTTCAATTATGTGCCTGTGTTACAGGGAGAAGGTTGCTAACAATGGCCAGGCATAAGCCATTTCTACTGTGCCTATCACTATTCTCCTTGCTAAACTCAACTGGACAGTTCATTAAGATGAAAAATTAACAGCACATGTTTTGGGGGCGAATAATCATGCAACACGACAGCTTGTGGTGGCTTCAGCATTCCGGAAAGCGGACAGATGTCAAACATGCTGGTCTTTGGATGAAATGGCATTTGGCCAATCATTCTTTACCCATGCGCTTACCAAGCACCTGCTTATGTGTTCAATGCTAAGCTCAGGTGCTATGGGGGTAAAAAAGGAATAAAACTGCAGGAAACATGATTATTGCCAGCCGACAGCATGCCACATATTTGGGAAGGCTAGAGAGATTCCAGCTGGCAACCTGGGAAACCCAGAAAAGTATACAAGTACTTTAAAGATCCTTATTCATTTTTATTTGTGTGTATCTGTGTGTATATATGTGTACCTGTGTGGGGGTGCCCAAAGAGGCCAGCAGAGGTGTTAGATCCCCTAGAGGTGAAGTCACAATCATTGTGGAGGCTGAGAGCTTAACTCAGGTCCCCTGCAAGAGCAGTAAGTGCTCTTAATTCCTGAGCCTTTTCTTTCATATATATATATATATATAGGCACGCCTGTAGTCCCAGCACTTGGGAGGCAGAGACAGGTGGATCTCTGTGAGTTCAAGGCCAGCCTGGTCTACATAGTGAGTTCCAGGACAGGTGGGGCTACAGGGAGACCCTGCTTCAAAAAGTCCGAAAAAAAAATTACAGCTTAGGATATAATTCAAATATCATAAAGTGTACCTCTTAAAAGCATAATGTTTGCTAATATCCTCATAAAATAATTCATATATATATATATATATATAAATGGTTTATACTGTGGACCAGGCTATAACTTTAGGGGTAAGACAGTGTGGACTTTTAGAAAAGTTTTAGACCTTGATGAAGCACAAGATGTTGATTAGTAAAATGAGTTTTAAAATTCCTAACAGGTATTGGTTATGATGCCTTGCATTTGAGGGATGACAAAACATTCTGAAACCAGATAGCAAGCAATGTATGAATTATTTTATGAGGATATTAGCAAACATTATGCTTTTAAGAGGTATACTTTATGATATTTGAATTATATCTTAAGCTGTAATTTTTTTTTTTGGACTTTTTGAAGCAGGGTCTCCCTGTAGCCCCACCTGTCCTGGAACTCACTATGTAGACCAGGCTGGCCTTGAACTCACAGAGATCCACCTGTCTCTGCCTCCCAAGTGCTGGGACTACAGGCGTGCCCATCATGCCCGGCAAGCTGTAATTATTTTAAAGTGTGATATTGTCACCAGAGTTCTCTTGAAGTCTCTTGTGTGGTAAGACAAACCATATAATATTTTTTATGTGAATTTATTGCAGTTTATGCCTTCACATAGGGAGGGGGTAAATGGTGGAACTTACACAGAGACAAGCACTCTTGTGCCGGCTCAGAGCCCGCCACTTCAGATGCTACCGCTGCTGGCCAATAGACTCTTGTTAACTTTCGTCCATGCCATCTCGGGCCTGCAATCTAGTCCCGGGTCGGTAGCCCCTGGGAGCCCCCTCTCGTGTCCACACCATCTTTCTCTCCACGCCAGCCCTCCGCCGGGTGGTCCTCCCTGCTCGCTGCTTCAGTCTCAAGATGGTGCCGAAAACCCCTCCTCAGTCCATTTTCTGCAGCAGGCCCCGCCCCTCGGAGGAACCAGTCACCTGGGAGACAGCTACATACTATACAAAGCTATGTTATAGTAGATTTCATTACATGCTCAGAGAATTTAGCTAAGTTGATACAGACTAAAGGGATATAGCAGACTGAGGTTGATTGAGAATTTCATGTCATAAGAGAGGGTTCTCATTTCACAGAGAAGGAAAACAACAGTGAGATCAGTTTGTGCCTTTTAAAAGTATTTCTTTTGGGGCTGGAACAATGGTTCAACAGTTAAGAGCACTGACTGCCCTCGGAGAGGACCTGAGTTTATTCTTAGATCGTACATGGCTGCTAACAACTATCAGTAACTCTAGTTCCAGGGGAATCCGATTCCCTCTTTGAACTCTGCGGCATTGCAGGACATGGGTGCACTTACACACATGCAGGCAATACAGTTGTAAATGTAAAATAAAAATAAAAAGTATAATATTTCTTTTTTATTTTTATTTTCATGTGTGTTAGTACTTTACCTGCATGTATGTAAGTGAATCTATGTGTGCAATGCCTGAGGAGGTCAGAAGAAGGCATCAGGTCAGAATCAC